CCAGTCTTAACACTTCCTACTTATCATGACCACATTTTCTTCACCCCCCACCCTCACCCCCACCACTCACCCCCCACCACTCACCCCCACCACTCACCTCTTCCACTCACCCCCCCACCACCGTTGAACTATAGATCAAGACGTACATGCTGAGTTAATGAATAATGGTCAGTTTTTTTGTTGATAATATTCTTTCACTTCCCTCTTGTCCCCCGCCTTGTACAGTGGGGGTATAATCACTACACTGTCCATACTTCTGTCTGTTAGTTTTTCTCTTCCCGTCTGAGTGTCAGTATAGTTCCTGGTTGACAGTGATGTACCTATAGACAGCTAGTGATGACTCGGAGGATTCTTTCAGTTGTGAGAAAGTTGATAAATGAGGTGTGTGTGTGTGTGTGTGTGTGTGTGTGTGGAGGAGGCAAGCGATTGACTAACATATTGACGGATATAAATTGTTTAACTAGCCCTGCGCTCTCACATGCGACAAAATTAATTTAACAGCACCCCCCTCCCATTTCCTTCTCCCCTTCCATCCCCTCCTCCCTCATCCCCTTCTCCCTCATCCCCTTCTCCCCCATCCCCTTCTCCCCCATCCTTCCTCCTCCCCCCATCCCTCCCTCCCCATCCCCTCCTCCTCCTCCATCCCCCCTCCCCCTCCTCCTCCCCATCCCCTCCTCCCCCCCATCCCCTCTCCCCCCATCCCCTCCTCCCCATCCCCTCCTCCCCCCCATCCCCCTCCCCCATCCCCTCCCTCCCCCTATCCCCTTCTTTCATCCCCCCCTTCTCCCCATCAAAAATAGCGGTGTGGCGTGGCAGTAATGGTTGTTAAGAGAGAAAAAAAAGTAGGCGGGTGTGACGTAAATATAAAGTGGCACTGGTGGTGTGGTGGAGGAGGTAGGGATGTGGTGTAGTGGTGTGGTGTGGTGGAGGAAGTAGTGATGTGGTGGAGGTAATGAGGTGGTGTAGTGTGGTGTGGTGGTAGTGTCACTTGGCTCTGTGTGGTGAGGCAAGATCACCAAATTTTCTGGTGTTTTTAGATGCTGATGAGAGAGAGAGAGAGAGAGAGAGAGAGAGAGAGAGAGAGAGAGAGAGAGAGAGAGCCGAAGTCAATTATTTATTTCTAGGCGTGAGTGTGGTGACGAGCCTTGCCCTGAGTTGTGATATATTTTTAGGTGAGAGGAGGAATGTGATGATGAAGGTGGTGATGTTAGAGGTGGTGATAATAGTGGTGCTTATGGTGAAGGTAGTGGTAGTAATGAGTGTGTAGGTCTATGTGTTTTTGGCGCTGTGTTGGGGTGAGGGAGGCCGCCAGGTGGACGTGACGACTCCTTGCCTCTTCACGTTTCCGGAATCTTAAGTTAAATATCTCTGAAAATAGTGGTAAGAGGGACTATATACGTGTGTGTGTGTGTGTGTGTGTGTGTCAGCAGCTGGTGGTGGTGGTGCCAGTCGCTAACCGCTCCATCCTTCCCCATTACATCTACCTATTTACCTCATTTCCTTCCTTCCTCCTTACCCTACTTCCTGACCCACACGCCTCCTCCTCCTCCTCTCCCCCCCCCCTCTCCCTCCTTCTCTCACTCCTCCTTCCACCTTATTTTGTTCCCACTTTCTTCTTTTTACGTCTTTCTACCTTCCCTCTACTGTCTCTCTCCCCCCAACAGGTAAATCCAGGTATGAATAAGGCTGGAGGGGGTGAGGGAGTGTTGTCGGGGGGAGACCTGTAGTCATCAGGTAACCAGGTGTGGCTCTCACCTGGTTAATTAGTTATTCACCTCCTTCATTCGCCTCCTCTTCCCATCCTCCTCTTTCTTCTCTTCCTCCTCTTTTCCTTTCTCTCCCATCTTTTCCAGGTTGCTCTTCCGTCATCACCATCATCTTCATGTGGTGGTGATGAAGGCTGTAGGTTGTGGTGGTGAACGCTGTAGGTTGTGGTGGTGAGGGCTGTAGGTTGTGGTGATGAAGGCTGTAGGTTGTGGTGGTGAAGGCTGTAGGTTGTGGTGATGAAGGCTGTAGGTTGTGGTGGTGAGGGCTGTAGGTTGTGGTGGTGAAGGCTGTAGGTTGTGGTGGTGAAGGCTGTAGGTGGTGTTGGTGGTGGTGAAGGCGTGGGAGGGAAGTGTAGGCGCGTCTCAGCTTGACAAGCCTGGCGGTGGTGGCGGCGGTCCAGTGTGCCGCGCGGCGCTCTCACGATCACTGGCTCCGACACCTCCGTCTGCTTCCCCTCCTCCTCACAGCTGTACACACCTGTCCTCCCCTTAACACCCGAGACACCTGCAACACTGGTTCCACCGCTGTGCCTGTGTAGTCAACCCCGGGCGGGTGATCCCTCAGTAGAGAGAGGCCTGGGGGACGCTTCCTGCCTTGACGTCTTCAGTTTTAGAAAGAGAAAAAAATCGGTTGAGGCGTATCACAACATGTAGGACTCGAGTGTTTTATTATCGTATTATGGAAAAGTTTGTGTGTGTGTTGGTAGTGTAGTACACCGTGGCGATGGTGTGGGTGACGTACACTGTGACGACGGACGCTCAGGACGTCGACAACAGACTATGGACGTCGTGGTTACCCGGTAGTTCCCTCACCCACTACTACCAATGGCTCAAGACGCCAGCATCATGGGCGTCTTGGCACCTCCCCACGCTTGACGATGACCTGCATGGCAGCTACGGAAGTATGGCAACTCTTGACAGGATGCTTGAAGGCAACAGAAAGACTACCAAACGTAGACGAGAGGGTGACGTCACACAGAAAGACCTTGGGTCCCTGTCACCACAGGACGTTTCAGGGATATGTCTATCTCAGCCTGTGTCAGCAGCGTCATCCGTCTGTGAGCTGCAGCCCGAGCACAGTCAGGAGACCACAGCCGGAGGCGACACTCGTGCTTCACAATGGAGAGGTCTAGCAACTCTGGAAAGCGAAGGTATAGATAAACCTGTTAGTAAAGAGGCGCCCGTGGAGGTGATGGGAGAGGGTGAGACATGCCGGGAGCCAGGGAGGTGGTGGTGGTGTGGGTGGTTATGTTTAACGGGGCTCCCACAGTGTGGCACTGACAAGCTGGCTGCTGAGGACAAGTGTTCGTGTCCCAGCTGTGGTGATGGTGCCTATCATAGTGGTGCTGCTAAACTGTATTCTTTGTTGACGTGTTCATTGTTGCAAGGGAAAGTGTCGTCTGAGTTGGCGGCATTGAGGAGCAAGTGTGTGGTGCCAGCGGGCGAGGGAGGGGAGTGCCGGGAGAAATCTCAAGGGGCGTGGGGATGGCCAGGCTGGTGGTGTGGTTCCCCAGGTGGTGTGGTCCACGACTCCCCCAGGTTCCCTCCCCTCCCACGCGTCACACTCCCCCCCAGACCTCGCTTGAAATTTCCTTCCAGAGGTCGAGTCAAACTGCCCTATACACTACGCATGAGGCTCGCCTCCAGACCTCGTTTGAAACTGCCCTCCAGAACTCGAATCAAACTGCCCTCGAAACCTCGCTTAAAACTGCCTTACAGACTACGAATCCGTTTGGCTTCAAGACGTCGTATCAAACTGCCTTCCAGACCTCGTATACAGCTGGCGCTCAGACTCCCCTCCAGAGCTAGATTGGCGGATAAACTGTCCTCTGCTCCCCGCATCAAACTGCCCTCTCGCTTTCGCACCATTAACTTGCCCCGAAACGTGACCTCCAGCCTGACCCCGCCGCCCAAACTGACTACCAACTTTCCTCGACGACCTCTATTAACCCTTAATTTGACCCCGAGTGACCTGCTGCGGTATTGGCCGTTACTGAGACTCAAGCGGTTGTTGAAGACCTTCCACACTTACTTGACTGACCCCGTGTTTAGGTAACAACACTGACTGGCTCTACTGGAGACCTTGGAGTGTGACTGACTTTATGAGTGGGTTGGGGTGACTGGTAGTAGTAGTAGTAGTAGTAGTAGTAACAGTAGTTTTATGTTGTAACTTATTCTGAAGTCTGCAGTAATTTGGGTTGTTTTGGTAGAAGAAAGGAAACTTGTGGACATACTGAGGCCTGTTGTTCTAATTGAAGTAAGACGTGTTAGTGGCGTGACGGTCTGCCGGGAGACGTGCCCAAGAACAGGACCACTTGAGGAAGGTTTGGGTTATAATGTTGTGAAGGTTGTGACTGGGGAGGGGTTATGAGTACTTTAATAACTATTGTAGCATGTTGTTTTAGTGGTGGTTGTTTTTGATGATTTTGTGCTTTGTAATAACACCAACAAAACAGTGTAAGACCTGCTCAGTCCCGGATGTATGCGACTAGAGAGAGCTCCCGTCAGCCACCCTGTTATTGGTAGGAGCACGTGACGTCATCTTTGGGTTTGGTGAATTAACCAGACTTAACCTAATCTAATCTAACTTAAACTACTGTAGTCTTATGCACATTAACCTGTCCTAGGAGGAGGATTAGGTTAGGTTGAGTTGACATTGTAAGAATCTGTGTTTAGAGCCATGACGTTAACGATTTCCAACCAATCAATGTCTGGCTGAGGTGTGAGAACGTACCTACCTGGCTCATTCACCTCACCTGTGACACAATAGTCCGAGTCTTTCATATTTTCTAACCGTAAACTTCCTCCTGTTTTTGGAGATCTTAAGAACATGTCAACGTGATTTACTTAATGGATGTTCATTAAATTAGTAACCAATGTGACGTAATACTTTCTTTCATGTTAAATTTAAAGCAAAGGAAGTATGGGGGGGCGGGGGGGGGGTTAGTGGTGACGTCAATAGGACTTCCGGCGGTGAATGTTTGTCTGTCCGTTGTCGAGGTCTGTGTGTTGATAACTGTCTTGTGTTAAAGCTTTCATTAATAAATATGTAATTGTAGAGTTTTTAACCGAGTGAGTGAGTGGGGGAGTTAAATAAGCGTGTGTGAGTGAGTGGGCGAGTTGAGTGAGTGAGTGAGTGAGTTAGTTGAATAAGTGTGAGTGAGTGTTATAGATGGGTGTACTGTAGAGGTGTTGGGTGTGACTAATAAAAGTGTTGTTGTCTTGGTGTTGCAGGTTGGCGGAGCGAAAGAAAAATGAAGGCAACGAACTGTACAAGAACAAGGACTACCGGGAGGCCCTCAAACTCTACACCCAGGCCATCGGTGAGTACCTCCACCTGTGTACCTCCAACTGTGTACCTCCACCTGTGTACCTCCAACTGTGTACCTCCACCTGTGTACCTCCACCTGTGTACCTCCACCTGTGTACCTCCAACTGTGTACCTCTACCTGTGTACCTCCACCTGTGTACCTCCAACTGTGTACCTCCACCTGTGTACCTCCAACTGTGTACCTCCACCTGTGTACCTCCAACTGTGTACCTCCAACTGTGTACCTCTACCTGTGTACCTCCAACTGTGTACCTCCCGTTTTCTGACTATACCGTCGGTCCGCCTGTCTGGTGCTGTTACTCTCCCTCCCTCCCACGCATCATCCTCTTTCCCACTGGACGGATGGACGCGCAGTATCAGGGCCGCCCGGTCAGGCACACACATTCGGAGACGTCTGCCACACCACCAACACACTGTGGTAACCAAGGCCGTCTACACCCTCATACCAAACAACACTACCAGATACACCCGTAGCATCACTAGATACACTCACTCACTCACTCATTCCAAACGGTGGGAGACCGATGATGAGACAATTGAGAAATAATTAACATCAAAATATACTGTATAAAACGCCTTGAGTCTTAACGTGTTGGGAGACAATGTTGTGGTCCCGTTAGGAGGTGTGTGAGGGCCGCTTGTGTTTACTCTCTGCACCAGTTGCTGCCCTCGCTGACTCCCCCCCATCACCCCTTCCTGTTTAGTGCACTGGTTGTTTGTTTGTTTGTTTGTTTTACTTTGGTATGTTTATATAACTTTCCAAAATACAAGTTAACTGTTCAATACCTTTTTCTGGGATATTTTATATTGTGTGTGTGTGTTTATATAAATTACCTTACCTGTTAATTAAGAAGGTTTTACTCACACGGGAGAAAGTTATTTAGGCATGAGTAATGAGCTGTGAACAAGAGGCGAGGTATATCATAGTTCAGTTTGGGAAAGTTGTTTATAGGTGCTGAAAGTGTGGCGATGGTTGGAGAGGCCAGTCACGCCCAACCGCCCTTGAGTGTGTGTGTGTGTGTGTGTAAATATAAGATGATCAGTGTTGGATGATGAAGATTGAGTGTTCTGAAGAGCTGAGTCACCTAGGTCAGCAGACACAGTTAGCATCACCTGAAGAGTCTCCCCCTCCCCCCACCCCCACACACCCCTCCTCTGATATATAAATAGCCTCCGTTAATTTGTTTCACACTGTCAGCGAGAAAGTTGTTGAATATATAAAGTTTAACTCCCACTGTCAGAACTTCCCGGCCACCTGCCTTTATATATAATATCTTCATAATGTTCTATTTAATTAGCCTCCTGACCATCCTGAACTATTTTAGATGTAGGTAATTATCTCGTTAGTGTGCTGTTTACCTGGTCTGAGGCTTAATTAGTTTGTTAATAAAGTGTGAGGGCTGTACAGGTGATGCTCCCCGAGTGATCTGGTGTTAGAGGTTAGGTTAGGTTGAGGGGTTTAATGGTCATCCAGGTGTGGTGATTATATAATACCTGACCTGTAAATGTAACCTTTCCCCTCCTCCCCATCCCCTCCCCCCACCACCACCACCTCTCTCCCAACACACACACACACACGATAGCTCTCTCTCACGTCACATATGTTGATGTGTTTGTTGTGTTTTCTGATTATTTGTCTGTCTCTGTCTTCAGTATAGTCATCTTTAAATCTTCTCCCGTAGATAGATAAATAGATAGATGAATAGATAGATAAATAGATAGATACAACTTTACCAAACTCCTTGATCTCTTAGTTATGGTACGTCTTTGTGTAGGTGTGGGTGGTCCAGCTGCCAAACGTTTTGGGATGATCGTCTTGAAACGTTTAAATTTGTATCCGGAAGGTCGTGGTCATTAACGCCTGTCAGTTCTTATTTTGTCTACTGGTATAGGTGGGTGGATCTCTCTCTCTTTCTCTCTCTCTCTCTCTCATTTTCTTTCACTCTCCTGTAGTAGTCGCAGCCAGGGTGTGTGCTGTGGGCTCCTCCTGTAGTAGTCGTGGCCAGGGTGTGTGCTGTGGACTCCTCCTGTAGTAGTTGTAGCCAGGGTGTGTGCTGTGGGCTCCTCCTGTAGTAGTCGTGGCCAGGGTGTGTGCTGTGGGCTCCTCCTGTAGTAGTCGTGGCCAGGGTGTGTGCTGTGGGCTCCTCCTGTAGTAGTCCAGGGTGTGCTGTGGGCTCCTCCTGTAGTAGTCGTGGCCAGGGTGTGTGCTGTGGGCTCCTCCTGTAGTAGTCGTGGCCAGGGTGTGTGCTGTGGGCTCCTCCTGTAGTAGTCGTGGCCAGGGTGTGTGCTGTGGGCTCCTCCTGTAGTAGTCGTGGCCAGGGTGTGTGCTGTGGGACGCCCTGGGCCATCCTCTTCAAACCTTCATTCTGGAGTCATAGCGGTCTGGCGCGTCGGCCCCTTGTCCAGACTGATGATATTCTTAATATTGAGAGAGAGCCCTCTCTCTCTCTCTCCCGTCTCTACTCCTCTGTCTCTCACCCCTTTAAACACTCTCCCTCCCTCCAGAGAAACACCCCCGACTCTTCTTTTCTCTCATTCTCTCTCTTTTTCTCTCTCTCTCTCTCTCGCCCCTTTAAACACTCTCCCTCCCTCCAGAGAAACACCCCCGACTCTTCTTTTCTCTCTCTCTCTCTCTCTCTCTCTCGCCCCTTTAAACACTCTCCCTCCCACCAGAGACACGCACCTGACTCTTCTTTTCTCTCATTCTCTCTCTTTTTTTCTCTCTCTCTCTGTCTCTCGCCCCTTTAAACACTCTCCCTCCCACCAGAGACACTCACCTGACGCACCTGACTCTCAAGGTAAACTTAATTTACCTGAGTGAGCCGACGTACCTACGAGGCGACCCACTTTTTTCCCTCCTTCAGGCAAAAATGAACTCGGGGGAGGGGGGTACTGTGGGAACTCTTGTGTAGAGCTTGCTTTTGAGGAGGGGTAGTGAGGGGGGAGGGGGGGGAGGTAATGCTGGTTTTGTAGGTAAGGAAGGATGCCGGGGGGGTAATTCGGCTTGAGGGGGTGGAGGAGGAAGTATATAGAGAGGTTTTGTGATAATAATAATCTCAAGAAGGATGATAATATTCCACACTAATAACGTAACCGAATGACAATATACTTGTTTACACACACCTGTATAAACCTTTTCAACTCCAGGTATTTGTTTCCCTGCAATACGTGTTTCCCAAGACGCAAATTTCCTCCAGTAAGCTTCAAGTATGGATAAGCTTGGCGCCAGTGTTTACTTTTACCAGCTGGTGAAACCCAAACAGCTGACTGGGTTGGGGAGGAGGGGAGGGAGGTAGAGTATAGCATTTTATTACCCCGACACTCACGCCTCTGACACAGTTACCAGTTACTGTTTTTTCTTTTAATTGGTATTTGTGGGTTGTTGATGGCATCTGTTGACCGATAGCTTAACTATGGTGGTTGATATAGTTAATTGTGGTGGTGGAGGTGTGGTTGTGGTGGTGGGGAGGTTAGGTTAGGTGCTTGAGCCTTGGAAGAACATTTTTTGTCCTCGATGAAACTAACCCTTTCGTGTGTGTGTGTGTGTGTGTGTGTGTGTGTGTGTGTGTGTGTGCACCATCACGGTAACCAAACACTGACCGACCACCTAGAGAGACACACTTGTGATGTCATTCGTTGATACACTCACCCTTTTGTAACGTTAACCACTTGCTAATGGTGTCATCTTCTAACGGGATGAGTCAGCAGGTAAAGGTGAGATCTCATTATGTAATTGACGTCATTTGGCGGCCATGTTTGTGTCACACCTTGAGGGAACTCGTCCACCAGGTGAGACTTCACTGTTGTTCTCTGACGTAATTATGATCGGTAAGTGAAGTAGGTAGTGAGGTGAGGTAGATGAGGTGAGGTAGGTAGGTAGATGAGGTGAGGTAGATGAGGTGAGGTAGGTAGGTAGATGAGGTGAGGTAGGTAGGTAGATGAGGTGAGGTAGATAAGGTAGAACTCTCAGGTAACCATACAGGGGGGAAATTGAAAGTTGTATGAATTTAACTGAGGAAATATAAGATCTTGAGACATAATCGCTCCCGTGTGTTCATTATTTACTGGTCTATAAAGTGTTTAGTAAAAGGTGTTGACGCCCATGAGGATGAATCAGCTGCTGACCTTTGAGTGTCAGGCCTCGTGATTGGTCTAACTCCCTGCTGACTGACTGGCTGGTTGGTTGGTTGGCAAGATGCTTCACTTCTCGTCCCATGACACCTGGCTGGCTGTCATACCACTATCTGCAGCGTCGTGATACCGCCCTTCTGATATTGACTACTAGCTCAATTGCCCCTCCCCAGACCTAATAGGCCCCAACATAACCAAACCCTGGCTATTTTTTTTCTTTGGGGGGATCTAGTTTCAATGAGCCCAAAGTTGAAATAGCTCCAGTCGTATAGGAACCCAGCGTTATGGTTACGTTAAGTTCGGTTAGGTACTGCACGTATTGACTATACGAGTGCACTTTTAAACAGACTTGGGGGAGCGGAGGAGAATGCTTGGTGGTTCATAATATCTGTTGAAACTTCCTGCAGTGATAAGACGCGAACAGGGCGTACTGGTGATGCTCTGGTGTGGGGGAGGGTGAGAGTTGTGGGGGTGATGCTGGCTCTAATGTGTTGGGGGAGGGGAGGTGGGGGTTGTCTTGCTGAGGGGGATGGGTGATGGTGGCGGTGTTTATCAGGTGTTGTCGTAATTAGTTGGGGACTGTTGAGATCGGAGGTATTGCCTATGATGTGGGTAATGGGGAGGGAGGGAAGTAGGCAAGCAAGCAGGTAGGCGGACATGGGTAGATGGAGGGTGAGACATAGTCAGTCAGTTCATGCATATAATGTAGGAAGGTGCGAGAGGCTGGAGAGACTGTGTAGTTATCCTTATCAACACGTCACCAGTGGAGGTGTGTGTCCGTCCGTCCGTCCGTCATCACGATCTGCCACTGTGGTCCACTGGTCACAGCTCAGCCAAAGTTTGTTTTCAATTGTTTTTTTT